ACTTGGAGTTTCAGAATAATTATTTGGAGTATGGTGGGAAATCTGTAGAAATAGCCAGATGACCATGATAGTCTACTGCAGTAGTGTAATTTATGACAGTGCATGGGCATGGAAAAAGAAATGATGGTGAGGATCCCAACTGGTACAGCCACTTTAGAAGACTGCTTGGCTGGGTGTGGTAGCTTAGAAATTTCTTGTAAAACTAAACGTATTCATTATATATGATTCAGCAATGCCACACCTCATTATTTACCAAAAGGAGTTGAAAACTTTTGTTCATGTTACAAAACAAGCTTGGGCTAGGTGGCTCAGCCTGTAATCCCGCGCTTTGGGAGGCCAAGGTGAATGAATTGTCTGAGCCCGCGGGTTCGAGACTTGCCTTGGTGAGACCTCATCTCTACAATAAATTAAAAAAAAATTGGCTGGGTGTGGTAGCGCACGCCTGTAGTTCCAGCTACTTGGAAGCCTGAGGCGGACAGATCACTGGAGCCCAGCAGGTCGAAGCTGCAGTGGCCGGGAGAGTGTCACTGTACTCCAGTCTGGGCGACAGAGCGAGACTCCAACTCAAAAAACAAAACAAAACAAAAAACGATACCCAGATTATTATAGCAGCTTAATTCATAACTTCCAAAACTTGGGAGCACCCAAAATGTTCTTTAATAGATGAACGGATAAACTGTGGTACATCCAGGTAATAGAATATAACTCAGCACTAAAAAGAGGTGTGCTATGAAACCATGAAAAGACATGAAGGAACCTTAAATACGTATTAATACATTAAAGAAGTCAATTTGACAAGCCCACATGCTATGCTATATGATTCCAAATATATGACATTCTGAAAAAAAGCAAAACTATGGAGACAGGAAAAATATAAGTTATTTTCAGGAGATAGCGGGACTGGGTCAATAGGCAGAATATGAGAATTTTAGGGCACTGAAACTACTCTGGATGATACTATAATTGTGGATACATGACATCATTCATTAGTAGAAAACCATAGAATGAGTGACAGCAACAGTACGTCTTAAGGTATACTGTAGACTTTAGATGATTATGATGTGTCAATGTAGGTTCATCAATTATAACAAATGTATCACTCTGGTGGGGGATGTTAATAATGGGGGCAGGCTATTCATGTATGGGTGCATAGGACATGGGAAATTACTGTATCTTCCTCTCTGTGTTGCTATGTACCTAAAACTGCTTTAAACAGAAAAGTCTTTAACAATAAAGAAAGAGAAAATGATGACCTGTGTACACATTTCAAAATAGAAATTGCACAAGCTGAACAATTATGTGAATGTATGTAGTTAAAGAAAAGAAAAGCAAACGTGGCTCCAAGGTTGACTGTTGCCTTAATAACCTAATAATTAATGGTGTGCTTCACAATAGAGTGGCCTCCAAAGAGGACTGCATGCATGCTTTTGAATCTATGTGTTTATGTATTAGAAGAATGATAATCGATTGGATAATTTATCTTGAGATATGTCCTAATTTACATGCTTGACAACAATCCACGTTGTCATATCCAGTAGACACCTATAATGTAAGCTTGATGCTTGGGACAGAGGTCACTAGAGAGCATTTATCTTTGGGAGACACGAGTATATACAAAGGTGATAATTAAAAACTTGAGTACAAAATTTTCTTATCATGAGGTAGCTATCTTTGCTGAAAAAAAGTGAATGTGTTTCTCATAAAGATCTAACCAGGTCTTGCCAAAAGTTCTCATTTACAAATTGGTCTTTATATATGTTTCTTATGTGTGATTATTGCAAAAAAAGACTCAGTGATCCTCATGTACATGGGTCAGGAAACACACAGGAGTACCGACTTCAAGCAGTCTCTTCATCCTCCATAACTGGAACTGAAGTGTAATTACATTGTTAGTACATCTTACATTTAGGGGAAATTTACTGCTATGAGACATTTTAATTTTTTTTTTCATTTAATGTAGGCTATTTTGTGAGTCATCAGTGAAATCTTATAGTTGACTCTAGTAGATTTTGTACTCAATTATGTACTAACATCAGACCAAAAGGGTCTCATGGCTACATTGCAAATGACGATACGTAAAGCCTATTACCCAAGCAAGGCTCTCTTTTCTTGATGGTGCTCATTGTCACTTTTGTTTCTAACGCTTTTACTCATTTTGACAGGAGGTTACTAACCAAAAAGTAAACTAATTGATCGTCTGTCAGGTCAATGGGCAAAGTCAGAGCTGCTGAACTGGAGCTTAGGAATCTATGTTGTGATCCTTAAAAAACATTTGCAGTTCACAGTTTGTTATTTTTCTTTGTTTTAAATTTATTCTTTCAATGAGAAATACGTTTTTGTTTATTTCTAACCTTTTGGAAAGTGTTTTATAGCCACACCATTATTTTGCCACATACCAGGAATAACATTCAAAATGTTAATTATAAAACTTAATTTCTAGGTTTCTAAATAATTTAAAATATTTCAGGCATGTAGACACAAATAACAACCTATCTTTACATTTTACATAGTTCAGGGAAATATATAAACTGTGAGGCTTTAATGGAAAGGCAAAATCTATTTTATAAAAAGAGAAATAAGCAAAATTAACTTTTGTAGCCTTCAAATTCAAAAAAAATAATCTTTTGATCCCTTAAGACAAATATTTTTGTGACACAGTTCCACCACATAATTGCTATCATTTTCTTAGTTACACTTTCTGGTTTCCTGCTGGCTGTTTTTTGTGTAAGCTCATTTTTATTCTCCAATTATGTCACTGTAGAGATGAAATCAGGCCTAATTAAATAAGAACATGACAATAATTGTCATTTTATTATCTGTGTGAACTATAAATTTTCTACCCATGAAAGGGTTCCTCAGTAAAGGAAATTGTAGCTCTTGTGACCCATCAATTGACTAGAAATAAAAGCTAGTGTATTTATAACTTCTCATTCATTTATATCTCCATTCACTCATATCTTCTTGTCTGTAGGTCTTTTCTTTTATTCTCAAATAGGCATTTATTAAGCAGCTACTATATTAAGTGTCTACTACATGCCAAGCACTGTAGATACAACTGCTCTAGGTACAGAAATAAACTAATTACAATTTTGCCCTGAAAACTAATGTGTAACAAATAAATGTCATTTGCTATGACGTGTGACATACCAATATATGAACAAAATTTACTGTGGCAATTTGACATATTTTTCCCTTGTTACCATACATACACAGCAGAGGATATTTACACATGGAATAACATTCAGGTGAATTCTCAATAGTCAATATTATTATGTCACCCCTTTATGTATAACTGAAGAAAGCAAATCTTAATCTATGAATAAAAATAAGAATTACATTGAATGGCTAATTTATAACCAAATAATACAGTATTGCTAATAATGCATTCTTTGAATAAATATTTACTGCAAGGCTAAGATATCTGGCATGTGTTGGCATTGAGTGACAAACAAGACAGTTACTGAACCTCTGGAGTTTTCCATTTGGAGTGAGGGAAAGAATAAAAACTCATTTCAGATGATTATGAAGACTGTGACCTTGATGAGAGAGGATAAAATGTAAAGAAAGAATGTCTGTACATGTGCGCATTGAGGTAATGTTGACACCAAGATGCTGGGAAAGTTTACTCACTGTATTGTCTTGTATCATAGTGTCTTGGTTACAAGTTACCATGTTACTGGTTAGTTGCAAGTACAGTAACTACTAAGGAAGCATTCTACAAACTACCTAATGAAGACTGCAAAGATAGACCTCCATAGAAGGAAAATAGTCTAAAAGGTTAAAGGGACAGTAGTCAAACCCTAATAGAAGGGAAAGAGTTCAGGGTAGAGGAAATAATTGCAGAAAATGAGAAAGAACAAGACATATTCAGGTAATTGTAGTACAGTAGTTCTGTAGTACAGTAGTACTGAAGAATACGTATAAGTGTAGCATAAGTGTAGGCCAAAGACAAAACTGGAGAGAAAAATAAGAAACAAGGAAGATAGTATGAAGTATTAAGCACTACTAAGGATCTACCCAATGGAAAATAAATTATCATATAAAAAAAGATATCAGTACTTGTATGTTCATTGCAGCACTATTTTTAAAAATATTCAAGCCGGGCTTGGTGGCTCAGCCTGTAATCCCACGCCTTTGGGAGGCTGAGGTGAGTGGATTGCCTGAGCCCGCAGGTTCGAGACCCGCTGGGCAGGCAAGACCTCATCTCTACAATAAATCAAAAAAATTAGCAGGGCGTGGTAGCGTGCGCCTGTAGTTCCAGCTGCTTGGAAGGCTGAGGTGGAAGGATCGCCGAAGTGGAAGGAGCGCCAGAGCCCAGCAGGTCGAGGCTGCGGTGGCCGGGAGCGGCCACTGTACTCCAGTCTGGGCAACAGTGAGACTCCAACTCAAAAAAAAAAAAAAAAAAAAAACATTCCGAACTATTTATCTAATAAAAAATTAAGCATACGTAATTGTTTAATATTATTTATTAGATTTATTGTTTGTCATTTACTGTGGTATATAATTTGGAGTCATTCAAATACTCTAAATGTAAATAGAATCTAGTCTCCCTGGCCTAAATGTACTTTAAAATAATTAGATCTGACTCTCAGGTTTAGAAGAAAATCCAGATCAGTGGTCTTTACATGGCTGGTTTTCAAAGATACCATTTACCATCTAATATAAAGTTTTTTCTGGGGTAATTATTTCATTTTATCCAGGTAATCAATATTTAATAGGATAACTCACCAATTTAATAAATTAACTAGTTAAATATATTCAGTACAATGAGTTTTTAAAAAGCAAGAATAGCTAAGTTTACATCTAATAACTAATTAAGTCTCCTTTAGAGTCCATAAACATATACTTTTATTTGGAAAGTGAATACAAATTAAAACTGTAAGTTAATTATGCCATAAACTATGTTTGAAACTCGTTTTCATTTCTTAAGAAATCACACATTGTGTTTGTCCTTGGAAATAAATGCTTTGCCTATATCCATATATTATACAAATAGTTACCTGTATGACACTGTCCCCAGGCCTCATGTCGGTATAAACATAGACATCATATGATATTTCGGGAAAGGTCGGAGTGTTGTCATTTGCATCCATCACTCGAATATTGATGATAACTGGCTCACTTTCTTGTACACCATCAAATGCTGTTATCTTTGGGGGTAGGAGAATACACTTAATGGAGAAGTCATGTAAATATAAGCAGTACATAATTCACTCTTAGAGTTTGATATGTTTCTTACATGTAATTTGTAATTTTATAAGTGTTATAAAATGTTTTGTAGATAAAAAGAAGTCATAAAAATAGTACTACATTTGTAGAAATTGTTATACTAAGAAGTTAGTGTTGAAGATTTTGTTTTACTTTTAGTATGTTCAATGCAAAGCACATTTAAAATAAGCAGATATGCAAAATGTCTTATGAGTTTAAAATGGGCCAAAAATTTTACTGATTCTTAAGTATTGTCTGAAATTTAATTTTTAAAAAAGTAATTGGAAAATATTCACTTTTATATATTTATATACAAAACTTGCTTTTGTAGTCAGCATGCTAATGTTAGTCAAGAAAGTAGATGCCCTAGATATATAATATCTCATTCTAGTCCTTCACAAAATGGCAATTTTTAAAGACTCATTGGAATTTGTTAAAGATGATATCTCAATTACATTTTCAATATATTTTTGGTTGTTATATTTCCTTTACTGTGGTAGTCTGGAATAAAAATTATGATATCTCTGAGGTATGCTTGTACATCCTATACATAATATGAGGATTTGTCTTGTTCTCTAAATAAATAAAAGTATTTATTAATAATGCAAAAATACTGCTAGATTAGGTAATATAAATAAGTCAGAAAATTATGTGAAATGAAAATAAAACAAAGCAACATAATATAAAGTTTGGTGCCTTTTAAAATAGGTATTCAGCCGGGCTCGGTGGCTCAGCCTGTAATCCTGCGCTTTGGGAGTCTGAGGTGAGTGGATTGCCTGAGCCCGTGGGTTTGAGACCCGCCTGGGCAACTTGTGGAGCCCTCATCTCTACAATAAATCAAAAACATTAGCCGAGTGTGGTAGCGCACGCCTGTAGTTCCAGCTACTTTGAAGGCTGAGGCGGAAGGATCACTGGAACCCAGCAGGTGGAGGCTGCAGTGGCTGGGAGCGGCCACTGCACTCCAGTCTTGGTGACAGAGTGAGACTCCAACTCAAAAAACAAAACAAAACAAAACAAAAAAATAAATAAAATAAGTATTTTACATTATCAACATTTTAAGAATGCCTAACAAACAAAAATCAGAGCTGCAACACCACCATCCTTGAAGGAATAACTTCTAAAATCTACTCTGTATCTAACTTTGAACGGTCACACATGCTTTTTTGTTGGTCTTTTATTGTGTAGGCTTCTACCAAAGAACTCCTATATATGTCCCATAGCATGTGCATTCTCTCTCTCTCTCATATATGTATATATGTATATATATATATATGTATACATATAATACATACATATTTTCTTACCTTATTATAAATATTTATAATCACAATTTGAATAGCCTTCATTTTTTTTCCCTTGGTTAGCCTATTCCAAATTTCTCCACTTCAGTACTATTACATTTTGAGACAGACAATTCTCTGTTGTAGGAGACTATACAGTGTATTGTAAGGTGTTTGACAGCATACTATATGACTACCCACCAGATGCCCGTAACCACCATTCACAATTGTGACAACCAAAAATGTCTCCAATCACTGCCAATTGTTCTCTGGAGGGAAACATTGTATCCACTTGACAACTACTGTCTCAGTCTATGACAAAATTAAAAATGCATTCACAAAAACAAAAACGTTTAGGAAATAATTATTTGTTTATATCTCAGTTTAGGTTAATTACGAGTACACGATACAGACTGAAATTGCCATTTTCTTGTTTTTATCCTGAAATGTGTTTTTTTTCTTCTGTGGAGAAGAATGATAATAACTGTACAAACAAAAATAGGATAAATACATGTAAAGAATGTTGTGTTATTGATAATTTTTCTGGTGTTAACAATATTTAATCTTTCTCAAATAATTGACATTTTCACTTTTAACCAGACATGCCTTTCAATTAAATACATACATATATATGAAATCTTTTTTACCGAAAAGGTGTAAGTTTCCTGTTCTTCCCTGTCCACTGGTTGAAGTAAAGTGAGGTAGCGAGTGATACCAGTCTGTGTGACAGTGAAGACTGAGGTGTAATCGTTCAGAAAAAGGTGAAGCTCTGGGTCCTTTGTCTTTGGAAATAAGAAAAAAAAATCATTTAAAATGTTGAATAAATGTTCAGATATCAGTTTATTACCTGGAAGTTGATTATTGAAACTTATTATTAAAAACATACATAAATGCATTACAAATGTCTAAAGAAATAAAAATAAATGTATAAAGAAAAGAGAACTCTAACTAGATACTTACTCACAAATTAGCTAAACCATCAAAAAAATGGTGACCCTATTTTGTGGAATACAAAACACTAAAGTAAGTACTAGTATTATTAATGTGACAAAAAAGGGAAAAATAAGAGAAAAGAAGGGAAACCACTCAATTAAATCTATTTTTTTACTAATTTTTATATCAATATTTTCCAAAACTTCATTGGATTTGAGAAATAAGAAACAAAAGCAAGGAAAGAAAACTGAAGTTCAGAATTTTAGCAATAAGTTTTTAAATTACTTCATTTGTAGTAATAAGCAGCACATATGCATACTATTATCTTGTTCTCACTTATAATGCAAAGTAGAAATAAAATTGGTTATGTATTATTCATTACCTATAAATATCATGCTTGCTCTTCCTTATTTTAATGCTGTAACAATTCTCCAAGGGAAACATAATATTTATTTAAATTAAAATACTTCAGATGATTTGATTCAAAATATGCATACATTTAGTATATGTGTCTGATAGAGAAGTCTATATATATACTTAAAGAAGAAGAAATTTCAAAATTCAAGACTGAGAGATAATTTACTTAGCATTGGAAACCCTTCACAATGTATTGTTACCTAAAAGATAAGATATTATTTTCTGCAATTCAGCAAAGATCAGTGACATAAAGTGGGGAAACTTTCTTTGGTGTCTGCATAGTGGGAAGAAAGGCAAGTGGGGAAGATAAAAGAGAAATATTGAGAGTATGTGAACCATCAGGAACACTATGAGAAAAAGAACAAGGGAAAATACAGAGAAATAAGATTGTTATAGATTCTGGTACCTTTTAAAGTATTATGTGTGGCATGATGTGAAATATGATTTAACGTAATAAGATACTTCTAAGCCTGGTATCAATGACTGAGGGCAGGGCATAGAGTAGGGAGCTGTTAAAGGAATTTTGTTTTGAAAAAAATTAGAGTTCACATTTTAAAAAATTCAATGTAAAATGCACACTACTGTAAGAAAAGTTGACATGATGTGATTCACCAAGCATATACTTTAATTTTTAAAGTATATACATTTTAAAAATCTGCATATGTGTATATTTCAAATACTTTTGAAACAAATCATTTCACTTAAATCTGAAACAAGTTATAGAGTACTAGTATCTCAATCTGTGATCTTTATCCACAAACTACCACGTCCATTGATTTTGACTTATGGTCATATGCTATATTTTTCTAGGAACAATAAAAATAATACCATGAATAATAATTTCCATTGATCTATCATTTACTTTTATATTTATCGAGCATAAGTTTTAAGTTGTCATGGTGAAAGTTGTTCAATTTCATGGTCCTAATTTCAATAATTAATGCCTAGGTGCTTTCTTTCTTTCTTTCTTTTTTTTTTTTTGAGTTGGAGTCTCACTCTGTCACCCAGGCTGATGTGCAGTGGTATGCTCATGCTCATGACCACCTCAGCCTCCACCTGCTGGGCTCCAGCAATCCTTTTGCCTCAGTCTTCCAAGTAGCTGGAACTACAGGCATGTTCCACCACACCCAGCTAATCTTTTTATTTTATTGTAGAGATGAGGTTTCATCAAGTTGCCCAGGCTGGTCTCGAACCTGTGCGCTCAGGGAATCCTCTCACCTCGGAATTACAGGCGTGAGTCACCGCACCCAGCCCAATGCTTGCATTTTTTATTAACAGATAACAGCTAAAAGGCTTCACACTCTGATATTTTCAAATAGGCACTTCAGTTGCTTCCATTTCAGTGTCATAAGCCCATTTACTCAGGACATAGGTAGAAAGTGGGGTATTGTGATTAATCAAATACATTAGTTAATTTTAAAATATAAATTATTTTTTATAAAAGTCAACTAAAAATATTTTGAACCACATTTTTGAGAATTCTTGCTATTTTGTTACACTTTATAGCAAATTGTGATGAAACTCAATTACTTTAGAGATTATCAAAACTGAGAGTTAACATGCAGTTTAGTGAATGAAACACTAAATAAGTATGAATGTCTGCCATTTGTTTAGTGTTTATCCTTGATCTACTTAATCACTGGACTTTTAAATTCATGCATTTTTTTTCTCTTGTCTAAATGTACTTTCAATGACACCTTTAGCTTACCTTATTTTAAGCATACCTTTGCCCTAGTAATACAAACTGAGCAAGTTTTGTTATATATCTTACTTACCAAATATTTTCATATTTTTTGTTCGAATCCTTTATTAATTTCTACTTCCTTCATAGGTTAATTCCATTCAACTGTACCCTCTGTGATTTCATTTGTTAGGTATATTCATTACTGTATTCACCACATGTTCTTAAACATTTTTATACATTAGATATTATGATAATAAAGGACTGCAATGAGTATTAAATTGTGAACCGGGTTGTGTACATGTGAATGCAAGATAATATGGTTGTGTCACATAGAGCACCATTTCATTTCACCAATTTTATGAAAGTCTCAAGATTTTCTTTGTCAAATATTTCACATTGGAAGATCACATACACATCAGGACCCCATAGATAAACTTTTTCTTATAGGATAAGAAATGACATTAAAGATCTTTCCATAATTCAACTGTCCCAACTTCTTCAATCTTTTAATAATAACTACCTAGAGATGATAATATAAAACAAAAAGCTAGCACTATTCATGGGATTTTGTAGCTTATTCTAACCCCATTGGCATAGGTAATCCTTGATTAAAACATAACTCTTTGACATTTATGTGTATTTATAATGATAACCTTTTTTTTTTTTGAGTTGGGGTCTCACTCTGTCACCCAGACTTGAGTGCAGTGGCCGCTCTCGGCCACCGCAGCCTCGACCTGCTGGGCTCCGGCGATCCTTCCGCCTCAGCCTTCCCAGTAACCGGAATTACAGGCATGCACTACCACGCCCAGCTGATTTTTTGATTTATTGTAGAGATGAGGTCTCGCTGCCCAGGCGGGTCTCGAACCCTCGGGCTCAGGCAATCCACTCACCTCAGCCTCCCAAAGGCGCGGGATTACAGGCTGAGCCACCGAGCCCGGCTAATGATAACCTTTTTATCAATATGTAGCATATATAGATGCTATTTGTGAATATCTTAGTACTTTTTTAAGTATAAAAAATCAAGACAGATTTGGAAATGTTCAACAAATTATCATCAAAGTTTAATATTTTAGATTCATTTTAAAAGATAATACTAGTTTCAGATATAGTACAATTAACCCAACAATTATACCATATCATTTTATAAATTTTATAACTTGTATTATGAACATAAAATGTTAATGAATACATATCAATGCCAACAAATCTATTATTTTGACTGACATTATTTACAGTTAAGCATTTTGCTGGTTTTGATAGTCCTAGTCCTGGTTATATCAAACTGTTGGTAAGGAACAATGTGTATGTGAAGTCAAATATACTTTTCCTATCAGTCAATTCCTTTATAAAATTACATTTTTTTTTATCAAGCTGCATCCTGATTTACAGTTTGGATTTCACAAGTATATTTAAATTTTACAATTCCTACAGTTAAGAGTCAAGTTCAGTTAACATTTGGTTATTTGTAATACCGCTAATTATGTAAGATTATGCTTATAAACTTCATGTACTAGGATGCAAATGGACAAAAATGGCATAATATTCCAATAAGAATAGTAAATCTTATGTAGCTACTTTCTCTGTAAGTTTATTTAAAATGGATATTAGTGCTCTAAATCAATATATACACAGTTGGTTAATAAGTATTCTTTTGTCCTCTAACATAGGCAATATATGTTTTATCCTAAAATATGAATTCAGTATATACCAAAAGTATGATATATTACTTCACTGATGTGTATATTATTTTCTGCGAGTATAAAATAAACTCTGGAATACATTCATAGGAACAGAAAAAGGAAAAAGTAAATGCAAGATAAATACATATACAACTAGAAAGGTAAAGAAACATATAATGTAAAAGAAACACAAACATTGCATTATATATAACTATGATCAAATATGACAGTCTGTTGGATTTAAATACCAATTTGGAGTTTCTAGTGAGAATCAAAATTGATATCACACACACACAAAATTCTATGCATGCTCATACATATGTACAAACAATACAGAAAACTATATACTGTGCATACGTGTACATATATGTATGCATACTCATATGCATACATATAAATGACAAGGCATAACATAAAAATAGCAAAAATGTTATCTCATCTGCCAGTTTCAATTAGTTGTCAGTAACTGCCTGAAGTTCCTAGTTCAAAAGGTTTCATTCTCAATCTTACAATGTTTCAGAAAGAATGCCATGACAAATTACTTGTTTTTGTCATGGACCAAGAAAACATGAATAATTAAACAAACTTTTTCTTGGTTTACCAATTAAATTTAGATTCTAGAAAATATCATAGAACTATAACCAATAATATTATGTAAATATATATATAAATTTGTATAAATTAGTTATCTTTATAAATAATAATGAATCAATGCCTACTTGTTTAATGAAAAAGAAAAAGAACAAGAAAATGAACCACAGCAATTAACAAAAGAACAATCACAAAATTAACACCTAGTACCTACAGGAACTCCACCGGGTGGAACCTGTATGCAAATTAGACATGAAATAAATATTATAAATATAAATGATCACAACAAATGTATGAAGCAAAAACAAAACCAACCATTTCCAGTACCTTAAACTTATAGCTTTTTCCAAAGTATATCTATTTTTTATTGTGACATACCTATGATGTACCAACAATATTTATGAAGCATATACAGATATAACATCTTTAAGATGATATTGAATTAAATATCAAAGATACCTTCACTAGAAATAATAACACTTTATGCAGGGACATAAATTCCACTTGCATATAATTGTGAGTAACAGGATTTTTACAAGACAAATGGGAACGTTTTATTGATTATTTTTCCTTTTTTTGTAAGAATTTACTAATTGAATTTCAGCTTCTCTGTCATTAAAAACCTAGTTATTTTAGACATGCCTCTTAAAATCTTGTTCATTACCAACTCTACTTACATTATGAACTATTTAGAAACTTTGATGTGGTACTAATACTTTAGTAAAGCATACTGTATTAACATAAAAGAATCATATATATGAATATATACATGTACATTTATATATACACCCACACAAAAAGGAACACTGGTACAAATATTTTTGTTTACTTTTTTAAATTTTACTGTGACCTTTAGGATTCCTTCTTACTCAACAAATACACTGGGAATAACATCACAACTCACCAATCCCTGCCACTATTTCTTAAAGCTAAAACTTTGCCTCATCTTCCACTGAATTGAAGGGAAAAAACACAACTTAATTTTTAAACAAATGAATCCAAACTTGTTCCTCTCTTGGCATCTACCATTTGACCTAGCTATGGTCGAAGCAACTCTTGAGAGCCAATCCCCACAGTGACAACATCTCCTTTGTTCTTCAGACTTATTCTCTATTTTTATCTCTGTAAGGACTCTGTCTCTCTTTTGAAACAGTTTATCTCTATCCTGATTACTTTTACTAATTCTGACACTCAAAAGCAGTAAGATTTACCATATAAATAAAATTCTTGCCTGTAAACTAAAAGGCCTTGAAGTTTTGTTAATATAGGTCTTTAAATAATACCAGTAATGAATTAATTTTCTTCATAAAAAATAAAAAGTCGCTGAAAAAAGAAATAATTCAGAAAAACATAAATCAATCTTCTAACATACTAATGACTGTTTTATAGATTTATTTTGTGTGCTGGCAAATGGAAGAGTTCAGGTATAATGGATGAGTTACAAGAAGACTGGTTCCATGATGAAAAGTTTTGTAAGAATTAGAATTGTCCAACCATGGAATGAGCCATATTGCAAAATAATTAATTCAATATCATTAGAATTTTTGAAACATGTTAGATATTTTCATTCCTTCAATCATGCCTGGATTTATTAGTTCATTGAAGAATTACTAAAACCTTTTAAGTGCTGGAACTGCAATAGGTCTTCAATATACAAGTTAACAAGATATAGAACCTATCCTGAACAGTTTTAAACTAATTAAGGGAGAAAGACACATATTACAAATTTGAAGTAAGACATTAGATAAATGAACTGAGGAGGAGCATGCACCTCCATTTGGACAATGACTATTCTAGAAAAGATTCCTGATTGAGGAAATGCCTCCGCTGAATTTTAAACACTGAATACAAGTTATCTGTACCAATCTGCACTAGAAGATAAAAGATTTAAACACATGGAAAATGTATCAAGACAAGATAACCAGAGAAGATGTAGCTTGGCATATGCAAGAAACTACAAACAGTTGCTAAATGTTGTAGGTGAAGCAGGAAGTTTCAGAAATTGAGGCTACAGAGATGTTCAAGTACCAAAATACAGAAAGCAAGTAAACTTAAATTTTCTTTTGCAGAGAAATAAATGTCACAAAAGTATATTAACTAGAAGCTTGATATAGTCAGCTTTGAGCTTTTGAATAAATCATTCCAGTGGCTGAGTAAAAGAAGGATTTTAGTAAGAAATAAAGAGAGCAAGATCAGGAACAATTCTAATAAAAGGTTAACAGGATTGTGGTTTTAAGGACAGAGAGGAGAAAAGATATTCAGTAAATCATTAGGGAACAAAATAGTAAGAACTTGAAGACTCCTTAGTTGCAGAGAGTAAATAAAACAAAAATCAAGGAAGTCTTCTAGGTTTCTAACTTGAACAGCACAATAAAGTGTTACAACAATTTCTGGGGAAGTGGTTTTAAGACAGCATTTCACATACTGTAGAAAGTTGAAATATACTATCTCTAATATTCTAAAATCTTATTTAAATTATACACACACACACACACACACACACACATAAACTGTATATGTTATTTAGAAAAACTTTATCACTAGGGGAGTAGATACACTTGTTCACTTTCTGGACACTTAATGGCAATCACTCACCATGTATTATTTTAGAAGGTTGAGGCTGAGTAATAGACACATGACCAAATATGCATTATTTAATTACTGGACATCTTTACAGGATGTATTAATCATGCTACTTTCCATGTACATGACACCCTCATAAGGAAATTTTCTTCAAAGCCCATCCCCACCAGTCCCAACTGAAGAAGCAGATCAAGGCAGCAATAATTGCCACCATATAGTTGACTGGGCAAGCAGAGGCACCTGTGAATATGAGACTTACAATGTTCCACCACTATTGCACGGTAGAAATTGGAGTCCAATACCAAACTGTCTAACACCAAGGCTCAAACCCCTAAAAATTCATCTCAGAGCATTTAATAAGCTGACATTGTATGTCTCCAAAAATAGAAATCTACGTAGTGTGTGCCAAAGGTTTTACCCACTGCCTTTCTTCAATGTGCATCCTGCCTTTTACAAAGTTCCTTGGAACTTAATTGTAAGATCAGTGATTCTAAAGTTAAGGGACAATGCAGTAACGGTGCACACAAGCAAGTATAAGGCTTAGTGTGCAACCACTAAACAATATAAATATACTAAGTATAAATTAATTGAATGTTGCTATTGTGTAAATCCAAAACTAAATCATAGCCTTAGGATTTACCTTTTTCAAACCACTATAGCCATTAAGGTGTTATCTAAAATACTATGAACTTTCAGATTGATTAGTCACTACTTAAAGTATGAGTATACATTCGAATGAAAAACAAAATCCACACCAAAATTTGTGGAACGTCATCAGGTCTGCAAAATATATTAGTTTAGCCTGGATTAAACATATTAAGATGACTCTGAGGGGTGTTTTCATAGGAGGATTCATTAAATGAAAACTTTTCCCCTGTGACTCAGAGGATCCCCAGGTCCTCTGAATTGGTATATGAAATTGTGTGTGTATGTGCATTTTTCTACAGTGTCTATTAAGCTTTTATTATAGTTGGACTACAGTCCAAGTATGTAAAATAGATAGGGTTTGTCTAGACTAGTGCTTAAAGTCAAGGACTTTGTTTAAATACTTTGACAGTTCACAGAATCAAAAGAAAATCTTTAGGAATTAGGATAGCACTGGGGACCTTATAACTTAAGAAAACAGAAACTCAACAGGACTCTCTTCTCCACGTGTCCCTCAGGTTTTATTCTCTCCTGCTGATAATGGACTTTCTTTATGATGTCAGCAAACGTGGCTACAGATCCTTCAGATTCATTTCCATTTCTTTGATGATTGATACGAATGTCTTCCAGCTACTTCACCGCCATCTCCTCTCTCTGCTTGTAAATTCCTGCGAGGGCTCTGGCTGGCCTGGTATAGATTTTCTGTCCCTTCATACCAACTACTTTGGCTAAGAAGATTAAAAAAAAATTCTGATTTGCTCAACCTGGTCCATTTTCCACTCAGTTAGTGTCAGTAACACAACAGCAAAGGACAATAATGTGTGTAGTGGAAGTGTGTTAACATCAACATAGCAGCTGACAGAAGTGTGAGTGGGTCAGCTGCCCACAAATGTGCCATCACACTGGAAGAAATGTTCCCAAAATCATACATTAGGACTGCCTTCATAATTTTTATACTTATGTAATAACACTATTATTTTTCCTTATCAGCAATTATATAAAACTATTCTCAATTTATGTTAATAAAAAATACTGCCCTGATTATTAGCAAACACCGTGTGAAAAATTTATTTTCTTCCTACTGAATACCTGCAAAATTGAAAAAGAACAGTTACTGAATTCAAACACACTTTTTAAAAAATATAATTGCTTTGGAATTAAATTGTAACACTAAGACGAACACTGATTTTGTTCTATGTTATGTAGTTAATGTATTCATGTCCTTGTAATATTTTCTATTAACATGAAAACAAGAGGTGTTAAGCAAGAGTAAAATATATATTGAACTTACATCCTCTATGTCTTTGTCCAGAACTACTATTCTTAGAGGCGTGGTCAAATTTAAACTGTCAGAAATGGTTGCTCCCACTGGCGCAGATTCAAGGATATAGCCTTGATAACTGGGCATTGTGAAATATGGGCTTTGATTGTTTTCGTCCAATATTTCAATGTGTAGACTGGCAAAGGCAGGAAGAGGATGACCATTGTCCTGTTCAGCCTAAAAGTGAAAAACAAGCAACAGATTTAAAAAATATATATCATGCTATGCTCTTGAAGTATCAATTTTCATGCAATAAATAGCATGAAAATTATACATTGTATGTGCTATATATTATCTATTATATATATTTCATTATATATAACCAATATTATTACAGAAAGAAAAAAATGCTTTAAAGGGCCAATAGAAAGCATAAATGAGAAAATGAAAGTCCTGAAAGGCTTAATCAATAGGTTGGTTCCCCTCTTTTAAATCCCAGTAATATATATATATTTTTTAAATCACTGAAATAAATTATTGTAATTATTATTGCATACAGAAAGAAGAGATGCTTGTGTTTAAATACATTTAGTCAGAAAATTAAGTGGAGATCTTTGAATAAAAGAGAAAAGGTTTATAACTCAAATAAAATACTATAATTATTTTTGTGTATTCCATATCTATTCATTCAACACTAATGAGTAAATTACTGCTATGGTTTGAATGTTTATGTATCCCCACGATTCATACTTTAAATCTTAACCTCCCCAAAGCAACGCTATTAAGAGGTATGGTGTCTGAAAGTTGATAAGGACATCAGGTCAGAGCCTTCACAAATGGGGTTTGTACCCTTATAAATGTGGCCCTAGAGAGCTCTTTTGCCCCTACCACATGAGAATCCAGAAAGAAGGCACCGTCTATGAGAAAGTGGGCTATCCCCAGATACAAAATTTGTCAGCACCTTGATCTTGGACTTTCCAGTCTCCAGAACTATGAGAAATAGCTGTTTGTTGTTTATAAGCTACCGAGTATATGGTATTTTATTCAAGCAACCCAAACAGACTAGCACAATCCCAAATAATTCATAATTATACATAAAATTAATGGATTAAGGCTATACTTATTGCCCAGTGACAGTTCCCAAAAATGTCCTAAAAAAGGCAGAAAATTTCATTGTAATACTTTTATTAGCTATAGAATTGCAAGCATTATTTAACCAGAAACATGTTATTCAAGTAAAATTAATATTCTTGTTTTATGTGTATGCTTGTTTTGGGGCATTAATTCCTCAATTTTAAGAAGTTGCTGGAAATTTCCACATAGTCATGCTGTGAATGGGGAAACATAAACACTCGATTTAAAAATAAATTATTTTATTACATAAAATTAAGTTTAACTTTAAAAATTATTTCATCACAATTAATTTCTAGAAAATTTTATTCAGCTTTTAGGAAAAAACTGATATAATTCAATGATTTATAAATTTTATTGAAATAGACACAAATTCTGACATTAATTTTTGTTGATATATTTTCCCTGTTGTTAGAATAGTTGAATTTTGAAATCAATTTAAATGAAAATGAACTATTTGATATTAAACCCTGGAGTGCCACTGTGGATAAAATAGTGACATCTTGGCTATGAAAGTTTATAAGTAGTTTAGATAGATATCTTTAACTATTCAATTCTAAGGTACAGAATTGGGTCTCTAGAAGATAATTTTTTTTCTTCTATTGGTAATACACATTTTCATCAATTAAAAAGGTAGGTAACTAACCACCGTGATGTCTGGCAGAATTTGTGACTTTGTACCCAGAAATATCACTATATATATTTTCACTTCACATTATTATTTATATTAAAAATATGTTGAAATAACATTTGTGTCAATTTTTTTTTTTTTTTTTGAGTTGGAGTCTCACTCTGTCGCCCAGACTGGAGTGCGATGGCCGCTCCCGGCCACTGCAGCCTCGACTTGCTGGGTTCCGGCAATCCTTCCACCTCAGCCTTCCAAGTAGCTGGAACTACAGGCACGCACTACCACGCCCGGCTAATTTTTGATTTATTGTAGAAATGAGGTCTCGCCAAATTGCCCAGGCGGGTCTCGAACCCGTGGGTTTAGGCAATTCACTCACCCCAGCCTCCCAAAGCTAGGGATTACAGGCTGAGCCACCTAGCCCGGCTTGTGCCAATTATTAATTTGAAATTATGGTAGCTAATAAACCCATAATGAAATGATGTCTTATAAAGCCTTGGTTTAAAAAAATGACTTATATTTGACTTTTAACATTTTGATATATATTTCTACATCATGTTATATCTCCTTGGTAATATTATATAGTTCATCTTATATATTTACATTTTCATTTGGCAGAAGAATTTCAAGGTAGTTCATGGCACAAAATGCTTATGTGACCCTACTCTCCACTAAGGAGAACATTACTGGAATAATGTTTGGCCCTATCTGGAATTATGCATCCTTTACACACAACCAGGTGTGCTGCTGACACCATCAGTATGGATGAGATCTTTCTGCATCCAGTGGCTGTGATTAATTTGTGCTGAGTCTTGGATATTCTTTTAGGAGCTCCTCTGTGACATACATCAGGCATTCTGGAGACAGTTGACCAGAGCAAGAGGTACTGTATACGACTAGAAAACATCGGGGTTTTTTTACTGTTTGAAACTAATTGGTCCATATGAGGTTCCAACCCAATGACCCTGAAATGATTTAAGTAGGGATGCTATATCTGACTTTTGCAGATTTTGAGCAGCTCATACATGCAAGTCATTCTGAGCAGGTCTTTCTTGCTCTTTCTTTTATATTTAATTATTCTAATAGCCATCATGTTATCTCCAGAATATAATAAAGCCATGAAAAGTCACAAATTTTATAATGTGACCTCTTTCCTCAATAAGTACACACAATTTATAGGTGGCAAGGAAAAAAAAAACGCAAAACTGATAATAATGAAATAAGCATATATTTTACATTCAGATGTTGTTAGTTTTTAAAGTTAGCTGTGAAGCCAGTAAAAACATATACTATTTGCACTATAAGAAAGGGATTGACAGTAGTGGGACACTGCCAGAGGAGGGAGGGAGGGGGCACAAAACATCAATAAGGGTACCTGATCCCAAACCAGGCGAAGTGGGGACCAAAGGGAGGCCCAAATTTCACCTGTACGATGACCACTTATGTACCTAATCCTGAATTGTACTCCATATCTTTAAAATAAAAGTTGAAACATGTATTATTTGATGATGAAAGTGAAGTGATTCAATGAAAAGAGAAAAAATTCAAACTAGATCTATGAAAATAATTCTTCCTCATATCTTTAAAAAGATATAAGAGTTCTGTCTAGTATCATCCTAATATTAATTTAGTGTTAATAATGACTAATATTTTGGGATTGCTACCGCATATTTTGCTCTATTTGTGTGTTTCAATTTGGTAAACAGGTATCTGTCTCCCTAGTCCACATTCTTAATTCTCATGCCATTTTGCCTTGCTAGATGTGAAGATGTTGATTTCTGTACTGATGGAGAACCAGAAAGGTTAGTTTTACATTCAAGGCCACATATCTTGTAAATAGCATACAGAGCTTGGGCCCAGACGCAGTTCTGCTTTTTAAGTAGCTACACAGGGAAATTCATCGTAAGTTTCTTGTTTATAGAATGTTAATGAATATCCAAAAGTATAATTGATGAGACTAGTCAGTGGTAGAAAATGATATTAATATAAATACTTATTAAATTAGAGTTAAACTATATAACTTGAAGTAAATTAATGCTGTTATATTTTGTTTTTTAGTGGGCCTATGCATCAGAGCTCTCATCCAATCCTCTTTTCTTTCATGTTATATAAATAAGAGTTCTTAAAAATCTGACTTATATTGTTTAACTGTATCAGAGGTGAAATATATATGAAGTAGGTCAGACAATTAAAAAAATTTAATTTAATAAGATAACCTTATTTATATATATAACATTAGTGGCTACAAGCTAAACATTATATTTAAATACTGGGTTTTGTTTGAGACAGTCTGGGCATGCATCCCATTTTTCAGTAATGAAACCAAAGTAAAACTAAAGTCAAAAAACAGAAGTATAAAAAACACATTATTTAGTTATTTTGAAGGGAAAAACATTGAAAGAGGTAAAATACACCATTTTCAATATTAAAACAAATAGCTATACTTTCTCAGCAATTTGTACTAGAGGACTTAGACTACATAGAAAAATTTTGTGCCTGTCATCTGATAGCAATTTAACAAATATCATAATTTCTAATATGAAATCTTTAAACAATAAAATAACAAAAGTTATAAAAATATTTAAATAGGCCAGGCTCAGTGGCTCAGCCTGTAATCCCAGCACTTTGGGATGCCAAGATGAGTGAATTGCCCAGGCAACTTGGCGAGACCTTGTCTCTACAATAAATAAAAACATTAGCTGTGTGTGGTAGCTTGCGCCTGTAATTCCAGCTACTTTGAATACGGAGGTGGAAGCATCTCTGGAGCCAGCCAGGTGATGCTGAGGTGGCTGTGAGTGTGCCACTGCACTCCTACCTGGGCGACAGAGTGAGATGCTGACTCAAAATATATATATATATATATATATATATTTAAATAAATTCTAGGAAAAAAGACATCACTTTTTTCTCCCCTAGAAAGTCAGGAATTATTTATTGTGCACCCATAGAGTCCATTTCTTAGATCTTAGGTTTTCACCTTTGCCTCTAGTCAAGCCACTCAATTTCTTTTTTTTTTTTTGAGTTGGAGTCTCACTCTGTCACCCAGACTGGAGTGCAGTGGCTGCTCCCGGCCACCGCAGCCTCAACCTGCTGGGTTCCGGCGATCCTTCCGCCTCAGCCTTCCAAGTGGCCGAAATTACAGGCATGCGCTACCACGCCCGGCTGATTTTTTGATTTATTGTAGAGATGAGGTCTCACTGCCCAGGTGGGTCTCGAACCCGCGGGCTCAGGCAATCCACTCACCTCAGCCTCCCAAAGGCGCGGGATTACAGGCTGAGCCACCGAGCCCGGCTACACTCAATTTCTTTTAAACCCACTTCAGTCAGGCTTTTGCCTGACCACTCCAAACCAGTTGCTCTTGTCAAACTCACTAATGACTTCTACATTGCGAAAGGAGATATTTTTGTCAGTCTTTATCTTATTTGCTCTATCCTCAGTGTTTAAAATATTATTTATTAGCCTTTCACAACAATACTCTCTT